TGTTCGTCGTCAGTTTATTGCATCTATTTTAATTAATCCATGACAAACGTGATACCTTGGTGGATCCAGTACGCTTGAGAGGGTAGTTATTCGCCATATGATTTGCATTCTTTATATATATATATATATATATATATATATATATATATATATATATATATATATATATATATATATATATATATATATATATATATATATAATTTTGATCCAATGTTTGACCAAATAACAGCTATTCTTCACAAGAATTTAGTCTTTAAAAGCAAGCAATGAGAACAGTCGTTGATTTTGTTAGATTTAAAACTAGTTTAAATCATTGTGGTACAGTAGTATTAAAACTTGCAAGAAAGTAGGTCTTTGGTAATAGTGATATGCACAGTCAGTTCATTCAACTGTTAAATTGGCAACTGTCTTCGTTTGCCCAGACATCACTTTTAAGTAGATACAGTAGATACAAATAAACATATTATATGACTTGTGTTTTAAACACTGTATTTACAAAAGCAGCTTAATTTTTGGCATGTTTATGGTTACTTTTTATTCCTAAATATATTCGAACCTACCATAGAGACCACCTCCGTTATGCGAGTACTTTCTTTTAACTGTTAAATATTTAACGGTTTTGCATCAACTAGAAGATATTAATCTCTGTAAGTCAAGAATTTGTTTTAAGAGGCTATTTGTCTCACTTCCCAGAGGTGGCTGCTTAAGACAGGATTTACTGTATTAATCTATTAAGACGTAATACACAAGTAAATCCATCATGGAAACAAACGTGTTTGTTTTATACAGTAGAAAGATCAAGGTTAAACTACAAGGAAATAAAATACATTACTACTTTCACTGCAGCCAATGAAGAGCAAGCAAACATTTACCTGGTATATTTCTGTTTATTAAGTATAACTAAATCAATACTTTTTGAAATATCAAAGCTTAGCTTCAAGTAAATCCTATCAAAATTACAAAGGCCCATGTCTAAAATCTAAATATCAATGCTCGGTATTGATGTGTAACCCGTTATTGTAGTCCTTGGAATTTTATGAGAAAAGCATTAATTCATATGACAAAATTATGTTTGTATTTTATACACCTCATAAAATAAACTTAAGAATATGCAATCTAGTACAAAAAATGACCTATTGATCTTCTCCATGTTCGTGATTTTAAACGAAAAAGTGTTTCTCCTGGTTTCTACCCTGTAAAAGAGAATAATACCCAACATTTGATGTAAGCCCACTGAAACATTTATTAGCTAACAACTCTATTTTGCGTTTCAATGTAGCAAAACAGTAAAGTCTTAAAGAAAAATTTGTGAAATATCATATTTTACCAAATAATAGTAATGAGTATATTATTTTACCGTATTTAATTTGATAGCCTCTAAAAATACTAAGTTAGTCTTCAACACATCAAAAATTATCTCGATCTTATAAAAACATTTTGGAAACTTAGTCTGTTTCACACTTATCAAAATTACTTGATAAATGGCATTTTCATGCAGTTATAGAAACGTTTGATTTAACCTTGTTTTATCATATTTGGTGTTCGATTTTTAACCAAAACTTTACTGCAACGACTTAACGAAAACCACCAGAGGAAAGCAATGCAATTTTAGAGGTATACTGCTATCTAAATCTGCATGAGGTGCTTAGATGTTTAGATCTTTACAGCATTTTATTTTAAGTTTTGTGATGTGTATTAGGACAGGTTTAAATATTTTGCAGAACCTTTAGTGTTTTTGAAAAAGGATAAGTTCGACACAAATGTTTCAGATGCTTTTCTATGCAGATGTAGACGATTTTGTTATTTTCTGAGAAAATGATATAAAACTAACAAAACTGTCAGTTTTGGATACATTTGCATGGCTTGGACAAATAGTTCTTTGCTCTGTAGTTTCACGCTTGTTTTTGTAATCACACATCAAACATATTAGATAAAGTGCTGAAAAAGACAACGTCACAAGATAAAAATTAGGTTTAGTTTCTTACAAATGCTCTCTTTTTAAGTTTTCTTGTTACAAGCCCATTATTTCTTCACTTGAAAAACAAGATTTTGCTAGCCTTTACCAGACAACAGAGGAAACTTTCTCTTAACATCCTAGCAATTTTTCTTTCGAGGGAGTCTCTCTCTCTCTCTCTCTCTCTGTCTCTGTCTCTCTCTCTCTCTCTCTCTCTCTCTCTCTCTCTCTCTCTCTCTCTCTCTCTCTCTCTCTCTCTCTCTCTCTCTCTCTCTCTCTCTCTCTCTCTCTCTCTCTCTCTCTCTCTCTCTGAAACATGTTTCTAATGCTGCTAAGGGTGCGTATTTTTGTTCTTTCGTCCATTTCTTTCTTGGATACGTTTCCTCTGTAGAGAGAATATATATATATATATATATATATATATATATATATATATATATATATATATATATATATATATATATATATATAAAGTAATTATATTTTAATTGCTTTAAGATTGATATATGATATAAATAGTAACGGTTGATGGAGTTACTGGCTCAAAGATCATAGCCCACCTCTAAACAAATACAAATTTCCTCTCCGGAGACCCCAAGATACTACCCCTATACGTTTTTATCAAAATCGATGACGCGGTTTCTGGCTCAATACAATTCTATAAGTTTTTCACAGATTAGTCAGAGACCCATTCCCACCATCGGTTGGATATTCCCAAGTTTAGTTATGAAGATTATAAATTATCTAGCTCTAAGACACTATCCATTTAGAATGTTTCTAGCTCAACAACCCTAGGCGGTTTCACATTATCGATTTTGGTTCAGTCGACCAATTTGTTTTCTAGGTCATAATATAGACTTCATCACCCATCATAAATGTGTTTCACCTATAGATATTAGAAATATTTCACCATCGTGATAATAAAGACTGAACTTTATTCTACCGCTTACTCAACGACGACATTCGAATAAATATTTATTTCTAGTTTGCTAAGATATTTTTTATCATTCGTATATATTTTCGATCGATCGAAGTCAATGGTAAGTTCAACAAACTTAAATTGTATTACTGAGTCGTCTGTTGATATTTTCTTGCTCAAGCCAATGTATTTTTTGATATTCTGTTATTATTAGTCAAATATTAAAACTCCACAATATATGGTCAAATGGGTCTAGTTTTAGTTCCAAGTTCTGATAATTTCTCGGTTGGGAAAGATAGCAGGTGTTTATCTCCTTTTCATCAAAGTTTAATAATGTCTGATATTGGTGATATTTTAGACATTGCTGGTTTTATCTCATTATCGCTTGTTCCGGCCACAGGTGATTCGCAATCGTATGAAATTGTGGTTCATTGCGATTTAGAACCGCATTGTTTTCGAGAATTCCTAACAATTGACCGATGCTACTTGTGGTACTGAGATCAACAGAAAAAAAAACTGATTTTCAAAAGATTCTTGCACGTAGTGTGTTATAGTTTGGAATGAGTTCAAAATTATTCGAGTATAATTGTATTCAAAATCTTCATCTAGATCCGTAACATTATAAGTGCCATGTTGTATCTAAAAGTCCAAACCCAGCCAACTGGCTGAATTGATTGGAATGTAAAATCATCATTCAGATTAGTTCTTATATTCACCAAAACGTGCCAAGCAGTAGCTGAAACTAACCTATTTCAAATTGTGTATCGTTGTCAAGTCGTTTGGTGGATTATCATAAAAGAGAAGTATGTACCGTCCACTCTTGTCTGTGATGAATCAAGTAGTAATGTAATTGACAACATTACTATTTATTTGATAAGTAAAACTGAACTGCTAGCAGTTTGAGTTTTGCGGTTATAAAATAAGATCACTATGTAAATTTTAATGTGTCGTATGTTAAATAACCGTTTTATATGAGCTTATATAACTTTTAGACAATTTCGTTGTCAATGTATGTGCTATTACTCACTGCTTCCTTTGGTGATATACATATTATGAATCATTCAACTATTTCAGCAGTAGAGTTAATGATTTTCAGATCATATACTATTTTCTTTTTTACGCTTTCGTCATCAAGTGTTTCAGCTGAGGTTTCTATAACCATGATATGTAATTAAACTATTTTACTTTATGTTATCAAGTATTATATCATAAAATCAGCTTTAATACCTTCTTTTTTTGAATATTAAAATATGTTCGTGAGTCACTATAATTTGTAGATTGTTTGAATCTATCAAGAGCCATTCCATTATTTGTCTCACAACTTTTAGTTGTTCAATCTAATTATCTATCTTGTAATAACCACTTTATTACATCACCAACTGTCAATTTGTTCTTGCCAAAGAAATTATCAAAAAAATTCTTAACTCAGTAATGTCTGTTTGATATTTAGCATCCTTTGATAAATTATTAATCGTTTCATGCATCATAGCCATATGTTCTTCATTACCATTAACCTTTTCTTAATTTTTGTAATACTACTGCCTGTCCTACAGCCGTATCTCCTATTCTCTCATTAATTTTCTCTGCATTTTTTGTTCATCTTTAAAATTACCTCGCATTACTTTCTCTCATTTTTCAAGATCTCCTGGAGACACCGCAGAAATATATGGCAGCTTGTTATGTACTGCATCAGTCACTGTCCTACAAGCATAGCAGTTTCTTCTACCGTCTGCTATAGACGTTGTCGTTCTTGCTCATCCTAGATTTTGAAGGCTGCTCTGAGTGTAGTAAATATTTTTAAACCTTCCGTTCTTTTTGCCAATTTGCGCTTTATTTAGTTTGTTAGACTAATTTCAGATTGTGGCCGTAAAATTAGTTTACCGATCGATTAATTCTCATTGTCCTAAAACCTGTCTATTCCACATATGAACATACGATTTTGATCTCTTTCTGTCGTCTCAAATAAAACGAAACTGTGTCCGCCATCACTGGTAGTATTATGATAATGTTCGGCAAATTTATCCTCTAATACACCCCGCACTATTCCCGGGCTACAATTTGCACGTAGATATTGTCTAGTACGACAAATATGATAAAAGGGCCTGTATTTCCCCTGACGAATCAGACCGCTCTGGTGGCCCAGTAGTTAGAGCGTCCGTATTGTATGCGGGTGGTCGTGGATTGGAACCCCACTCGAGTCATACCAAAAACGATAAAGATGGTACTAACAGCTGCCTCGCTTGGCGATCACTATTAAGAGGATAGTGTTATGACTGGTCGGCATGGTAGGATAATGTGACTGGGTGGAACGTGCCTCAGTGCTAAACATCATTATAAACTGTCACCCTGCAAACATCGTAACGATATGACCGAAAAATTTTTAAAGCTAAGTTAAATCTAAATCATACACACCTGATGAATTTGTCCACGTTATAAAATCCCTTAACTAGGTAGACTGTTACATTTTCTGTTGCGCGATAGAGAACTATAAGAATGTCATCAAGGACAATTATTTTATGCTCGTCAGAATCTAGCTCTACCATAGGAATTAGATTTTGGTGTTATTTTATGATAAATAAAGCAATACCTATGCCAAGTTCATTTTTCAGCTTTACGATGTATTCGCTAGGCAGTTCGTATTTGTCTTGGACGTGGATTTGTAGTGCAGATAAAAACTCGATCTAGTTGAAAAAGTCATTAAGTAACATTCATCAGAAGGTTAGTTTTTCCCGATCCAGTTTGTCCCACTATCTGAAAATGACAGTAGGATAGGTCACTGTTCTGCAATCTATTACGAGGAGCAGAGCTTAAGGGTTGAAAAGTATTTGAGCTAAATAAAAACGTGATTTGGCTACTGTTACATCTTAAGTAGTAAAAACAAACTTTCATGGTAGTAAATCGCCAGAGCAAGAAAGACTAGATAAGATTCGTGAATTTCTTGACAAAACATTTGAAACAATAAACACGTTTTTTAAAAATCGTACGTCCAAGGAGGTATTTGCTAAAAGTATTATTTCGTGTATTAGGTATGGACAATTATGAAACAATTACGTTGCTTGAATATGTAAATAACAGTACTGACACTAACTTGCTATCAAACATATAGATATAGAAAGTGTAGCGTATATCACATTAAAGCGGCATTAAACGCAGTATCAGATATTGAGTCCAGGACAGATTTATATGATGATTTCGAATGAGATATTTTATCAAGAGTTTGACGATAAAACAACTGCGAAACGGTTTATTGACGATCATTATGAAATACATAATAGTTTTAAAATTTGGATTCATGAACTCGAAAACAGAAGCTGGAAAGTTACTGACAGAAGAAAAGTACATAAAAAGCTGATTGCTTAATAGCTTAATCTACCATAGATATATGTATTGGCTGATATTCTCGGTCTTTTAAATTTTGCAAAAGCGTTTGCATTTCTCAGACATCTAGCCCTTAAAAAAAAGAATCCGTTATCTTATTTTGTTAATTATATAGACGAAACAGAGAATATTTATCGTGATAGTGTCAATATTATTACTGAAATATCAATATATTTTAACCTTCCATTTTCATCCTCAGCTTTAATAGATATCCGATATGATGAATTCTCATCTGAAATTTATCGTAACTACAGAGTTTTTGTCCGATCCTTTCAATAAAACATTTAGTTCTCTGATTGATAATGTTTCATTTGAAAATATTTTTACTACGGCGATTGAAATAATTGCAGAAACATGCATAATTACTTTCAAAAAATAATCGACTTCAATCATGTTACATCAGGACTCTAAGACAATGATAAGATAAGCTGATCAAATACTATAAATATAATCATAGAAAGCTTAACTGCCTTCAGACAAGGTAGACAATTTTATAGTAAAACAGCAAGCGCTCTTATTTACATTCCCATGATGCTTACAACGACTGGAATTATTTCAGGACGGGGGAATTTGGATGGATCACAAGCCTAAACATTTTCCAACGATCTTAAGAAGTAATAATTACTTTAAATATATTTCATCAAAATTTATTTCTTTTTTATCAAATAATTAGAATTGTTTTTTATAGTTTTACTTGGATATCGGTGTGATTATATATTTACTTGGTAGGACATTAAGAATTTGTGGGAGAATTTTATTTTTATTTGAGGATTATTAACTGTATTTAAAGGTCACAGATTATATCAAAACATATTTCTTTTAACATAAGATTTGCATTACATGATTAAACGTTGTTATGCTCCCATAAAAAGAATAAAAATATTATCAAGTATAAATAAGATAATAATTGAATTACTGAAATAGAAGTACACACCGCTGTTAATTCCCCTTCGCTATGATTTTCAACTTATTGAGGACGCCAACCGGAAATGAGGTACATTTATCACTACATAACCAAGTACATGCTTCGTCTCATGGAAAACTTAAAAACTACAAAATATTAATACGGAAACTTTAGATGAAACTATCGACAACTAATGTTCAGTCTTGTATCGATGAGCATGTACGACGTATTAGACTGTGTCGCTTTCAGAACTGTTCCATTGTTTCAATTTATTTTAACATTCTCGTTAATACAGGTAAAACGAATCATTGATGACTTCCCTATGTCGGCCGACTCCGTAAA